TCTCAATAGATTATATGCATTCAGGGAATTTATAAACTTCTAATGGTTTTAATTTTTTGGCATACAGTTGTTTATAATGGTTTCTTATGATCCTGTGGGATCAGTTGTCTCCTTTTCTAATCTCCTATTTTATTTATTTGGATCTTCTCTTTTTAATCTTAGTTTCACTAGTTTTGTTGATTTTGTTTATCTTTTCAAAAAACTAACTCTTCATCCTGTTGTTGTTTTGAATTTTTTTCTTTCTTTCTTCTACCATTTTGGGGTTTGATTTGTTCTTGTTTTTCTGTTTTCTTGAGGTGCATAATTAGGTTATTAGAATCTTTCTTCTGTTTTGATGGGAGAATTTATTGTTATGAACTTTTCTCTTAGAATTGCTTTTGCTGTGCCTTATAGGTTTTGGTATATTCATTCTCCTTTGTGTCAATTTATTTTCCTTTTAACTTCTTCATTGATCCATCCGTTATTTAGTGGAATATTATTTAATTTCCTTGTATTGGTAAGATTTCCAGAGTACTTATTGTTGTGATTTATAGTTTTATAATTCTTAAATTTGTTAATACTTGTTTTGTGACTAATATGTTATTTTTCCCGGGAAATATTGCATATGCAGTTGAGAAGAATGTTTATTTTGTAGCTGATGGATGAAATGGTCTGTAAATGTTTATAGATCTATTTGGTCTATAGTGCAGTTTAATTCCAATGTGTCTTTGTTGATTTTCTGTCTAGATGTTCTGTCCTTTGTTGAAAGTGGGATGATGAAATACTCTATTATTATATTATAGTCTACCCCTTCCCTCCTTTTAGATCTATTAATATTTGCCTTACATATTTGTGTGTTCTGGAATTGGGTACATAGATATTTACAATTGTTATGTCCTCTTTGAAGTGAATATTTCATTAATACATAAAGGTCTTTTCTGTTTTCTGTTTATAGTTTTCTACTTGGTCTATTTAATCTCATATAAAAATGACCACTCCTGCTCACTTTTGGTTTCCATTTGCATGAAATACCTTTTTCTATTCCTTCGCTTTCAGTCTATGCTCACCTTTAAAGGTGAGGTGAATCTCTTATAGACAGCAAATAGACTTTTTATATTAAGTCACTCTCTTTCTTTTAGTTGAAGAACTTAATCCATTTATATTTAAGGTTATTATTGACACATAAGGATTTACTACTGTCATTACATACAAATATGATTTTACTTTGATAAAATGATTTTTTATCTCATGAGCTTGTCTGACTAAAGTTGTTATCTTAAAATATGAGAATAAGAGAGGAAAGAGATCTATTGCTGGTAATTCATATGGTGTTAATAATGCTGATTCTTTTTAAAATTCTATTTTCTTTCTTTCTTTCTCTCTCGCTCTCTCTCTCTTTCTTTCTTTCTTTCATACAGGGCCTTGCTCTGTCACCCAGGCATGATCACATGTACAGTGGCATATTCACAGCTCACTGCAGCCTTGAACTCCTCAAGTGATCATCCCACCTCAGCTTCCCACGTAGATGGGACTAACCACAAACACATCTGGATAATTTTTTTTTTTTTGGAGTGCAGAGTCTCACTATGTTGTCAAACTGATCTTGAACTTCTGGGCTCAAGCAGTTTTCTTGCTTCAGACTCCCAAAGTGCTGGGATTACAAGCATGAGCCACAGCATCAACCTTATATTTCTTTTTTTTTTTTCTTTTAAGACTTTTGAAAATCTCACAACACTGATAAAATTGCCTCATCCCTTCACAAGCTATTCTTTATTTATGGAATGTTTATTAGTGTTTTATAAAATATTAAACACATGCTCTATTAAAGCCTGTTTGTAATGAGATTAAAGCAATTAAGTAATTGAAAAAGCATGTTTGAACATGCTGAATTAACTTTGCTGAAATAATTAATAATTTATTTATTTTATTGAATATATTATATATGAATATGTAGCTAATTTTTGTCAACCTCACTGTTTTTATGTATTTGACAACATAAATTTATCTGAATGTTAATATCCAAGATAAAGTTTGGCTCACCATCCTCACAGCCTCATGTATTTATCTCATTTCAAGTGCTCCTTTTTTTTATTATTATTTATTTTATTTATTTTTATTTTTGCTACTGAGTAAGTGATATACAAACAGAAATAAGCTCTTGGTACAAACACTCAGTCCTAGTATTTCAAGTCCTTTCTTCTAGTTTATCACTGCCAAAGCAATAATAAATCTATGACTCTGGTTGTTAGATAGAAATAAAGGCACTCTGCTTTTAACCATTTCCCTGTGGTGAAGGAAACAGGGGATGGAGAGGAGGTGGAGGGTGGAGAAGTGTCATCAAATTGAAGACAGTAATATTGTTTATGGAAAGAAGTATAGTGCAACTCTACAACTCTATAAAGCACAGAAGCTTTTTATTATTCTCTTTGCCTTTTCTCATTTCCTGAAATAACCCTTCAGCCCACATCAAAGTCTACCAAATCCTAGAAGCCACAGCCACAGTCTATTTGTCTCTGTATCTCTCTCTTTTTTTTTTTTTTGACAGAGTCTTGTCTCTGTCACCCAGGCTGGAGTGCAGTGGCTCGATCTTGGCTCACTGCAAACTCCACTTCCTGGGTTCAAGTGATTCTCCTCTCTCAGCCTCCTCAATAGCCGGGATTAAAGGCATGCACCACCATGCCTGGCTAAGTTTTGTATTTTTAGTAGAAACAGGGTTTCACCTTGTTGGCCAGGCTGGTCTCGAACTCCTGACCTCAGGTGATCCACCCACCTCGGCCTTCCAAAATGCTGGGATTACAGGTGTGAGCCATCACACCCGGCCTATTTCTTTAATGCTCTTGTCAGAACACACTAAAGTATCTGATATATTAAGAAACCAATAACTCATGTTTAAAGGATAAAGTTTTTGTTTTCTGAAATGGCTGAAAGCCATGATAAAAAGGGATATACTGTGGTAAAGAAATGTGAGGTAAGAGCATGTTTATGTAAAATCTTCCAAAATACTGTTCCCTTGGCATTTCTACTAATAGAAAGATGAATATGTTCCTATTTAAAATGATCTATATAAAGCGAAAAATAAGGTCATTTTCACAGATCACTGGAATTCTGTAGAAATCTTAATGAAGAAATATCTGAATTAATTGAGTTCTGGGGAATGGTTATGAAACTTTGAAGATAAATATAAAATATGATTTCTTCAGCTCTAGTAGCTGTTCTGTCTGATGCCCATTTACAATCCATAGCCCTCAAGACCAGTCACATAGTGAGTCCTGGACCAAACCTGACAAAGGCAGGACCCATCAATGTCACAGTCCTAAAATCTCATCAGGCTGCATATTAATGTATCCATTCAGATTTGCTGCATGCTTTGTTTATTTACCTTATAAAGGGAAAATTACTTGGAAAATACTAAGAAATTCCTGAAAACAACAACCACCACCACCTGGAACTGTATTATGACAAAAAATAGTCTGTCTTGGTCACACCCAATCCGAAATATTATGTTAAGGGTATTATGTATTGAAGGATATTCTAAAACCAAATTTTTTTTCCCACTTGAAGTAGAAAGGTTTAGTAAGTCTAGAATATTATGCCTGTTTCTCACTGTTTTTTGAAATTTCTTCATTTTACTAGAGGTTCAGATACAACTGTATTGTCTGTGAAGTCTTCATATCAAATTGAACTTAGAGTAATGGTTTCTATTTCTCAACTGCTAAAGCACATTCTGTCTCAACCTTTAATTAGAGATTTACTGAAGAGTTTTCATTAAATTTTTATACATGTATGCCATCTCAAAAGTGAGACAAAGTGAGTGCTAGTTTTTATTATTTCATTGTATGTGTCTTAAGACTTTCATGTAACAGGCATTTAATACAGATCTAATAAATGAGTAAACATTTTTCCATCATGCATTTAAATTCATGACATTTTATTCCCAGTTCTACTTACTAATCCTATAATTAAGAATGCATATGGAAATTATTTATGGGAAGTCTATTCAAATTTCTGAATTTAACTCATTTTGCAATTAATAACAAGATAGAAAAAGAAGATAAGACTGGTCATGGAGGTAAAAATAAAGTCATTTTGAAAGTGTCAACAACATAGTTCATGGTGGTAAATTTTAAAAAGGTCACGAGCCCAGGATTAAAATCTTCACAGCAAGAGACAATCATTTTTAAGTTTGTATACCCTATTTCTTGCTGGTTCCAGGCTTTTGGCTATTTCATTGATTTCAGCAGAAAGAGAAAGAAAGATAAAGGATATTTATAATTTCACTGTGATTCTCAGATAATCTTTCTTTTCATGGCTGCATTTTACCATGAATGACAGTGCTTCTCAAACTTTAAAGTATATAAAAATTCCCTGAATGATTATTAAGGTCAAATTCTAAGGTCTTACCCACAGAGATTCTGATGTGACCAGTTGTTGATGGGGCCTGGAAATCTGCATTTAACAAGAACCTGAGAACTAGCCCATTGGTTTTCAACCCTAAAATACTTCCCTAAATGATATGACCTCATATATAATGGAATTGGCTGTACTACTACTTGGATATGCCAGAAATTATATAGATACAAATACAGTTACAAATATAGATATAAATATATGTAATGATAGATATAAATATCAAGGATTTTCTTTGGTTACCTGTAATTCTTGGTGTCACCCATCTGCTCTAACTTTAACAGATCAACAATACTGTTTTGTTCTGTTCGTTGACGTTTACTTGCCAGGTAGTTTCCTACCGAGAGTTAAATCCACGTCATGGTTCTTGAAGAGGTCTGAGGAAAGTGAGACAGTTTATAAGAGCTATATAGAGTTGCAATTCTTTCTGAGGCTCAGATGGCTATCACGGTGTAAGTATGAAATTTTTTAAAAAATGAACATACAGCAAAAAATATGCCTTCTAGTTATTACAGTCTCTTTTTTTTTTTTTTTTAAGATACAGGGTCTCACTCTGTTTTCAAGGCTGTGAATGCAGTGGCATGATCATAACTAACTATAGTCTCAAACTCCTGGGCTCAAGGGGTCCTCCTGCCTCAGCCTCCTGAGTTAGGACTACAGGTATGCACCACTATGACCTGCTATTATGGTGTCACTTTTATATAAGTCATTGATTTTTTTTTCCTTATGTAAAATAGATAATAACTACTCTGCCTGGCTTGTTGAGACTAAAATGAAAAAGTATATGTGAATAATTTTGTGAATGCAAAATATACTTTTATCTACAGCACTGTGCCTTCCAAAAAAAGATAGCTTGCATCTTTGATTGACAATTGCAAATCTAAAGACTAAAACATGTTTAAAAATTAAACAAAGCATCAGGTCTGAAAATGAAAAAAGTCTATATTATCTCACCAACTATTGAATATTTTATATCCAGGAAGTTTCCTATTACATTTTTATTTATTTGAATAACTCTTATATTAGAAAAAAATCTCTATAAACTGTGTTCCCTTTGGGAATTTGAAATAATATACAGTTTATCTTTTGTTATATTTTTACATTTGGAAAAAAAAAGGCATAAACTTCATCAACCTGGAAGAAATATTCTCATATGTTAAAATAGAGGTAAACACAGAATTTACAGGAATTATCTAAACCTAATTTTTTTAATGCAAACCATTTCCCTTAGGGAGTTTGCTACAATTTTTGAGCAACTTTAAATAATTTTTTAAACTATGTCACCAGACCATTAAGTGCATAGCTTAGAGCACACAGGTGTGCCTGAGGACAGTTTAGACACGTGTCATCCTTTCTGAATGCGGCATGCCTAAAGTGACTGCTCCCTCACAGTAAGGAGACTTCATGTTTCAAATAGTTAAATATGAGAAATCATCTAAATATAAAATGTAAGCCCTAAACTATGTGAACATTTATGGCCAAATATAATTATATTGTTTCTCAAAATAAATATTTTTACTCAGAACTTCTAGGTTTCCTGTGGTGCCGTAAGTGACAATCCTGGAAGTTTGATTATTTTTAAATGAAACTTGATTTTTATAACAATAAAGGAAATAAATTATGTACTCCAGCTTTTTCAAGGTTTATATTGAACTCTAATACTGCATAAAACATTTTGTACCACTGATGTATAATACAAAGCATAAACAAAGCAGATATTTATAGCCAAATATAATTCTATTGTCAAACAAAACAAGTTGTTTTTTATTCAGCACTTCTAGATTATCTGCCAAGCTCACGGCTTTACGATTATGTTCAAAGTGTGCTCGTTGTATTGAATTGTATTAATTATATCATCACTTCCTTATTCTGATAATATGCATGTCTGGAGACCATGTTATCGGGCATTGATGAGAATTCAAGCTTTCAGTCTATTCTCTCAGTCTGATTACTGAGTGCTATCCCAGCTGTGGATGTAGTAGAATAAAAAATATTAATTTTTTCAAAACAGTTAATGATCATGGAACATTCAGGGGTGTTAATGACACTGGAATATGCTGAGGTAAACATTTTAAGGTACATATCTTAAGGGTAAAACACTTTATTAATTCTGGAAAAGTTAAAGCCTTGTCACGGTAAATGCCAGACCATTCTCTGACATCCATGAAGGAGCCTGTGAAATTCTCGTTAATTACAGTAGAACATTTCTAAAAACAGGATAAGTCTGAAAGTGACATGATAGGGAAACTGCTTACTACCTAGCCCCAACAAAGCAGCACCATTTAACATTTTGAAAGTTTCCTAGATAAGTGGCTTTTATAGAATGGACAAACCACGAACAGCTTCAATTGTATCCCCTAAACTTTTACTGCAGGGCCTGAGTTAAGGTCATTGAAGCACAGTATTCAAAAGCAAACAAAAAGAAGAAGAAGAAGAGAAAGAGGAAGAAGAAGAAGGAGGAACGTGGAGGAGCAGGAACATGGAGGAGGAGGAGGAGGGAGGAGGAGGAGAAGAAGAAGAAGGAAGAGGAGGAGAAGGAGGAGGAGAAGGAGGCGGAGAAGGAGGCGGAGAAGGAGGCGGAGAAGGAGAAGGAGAAAGCAAATATTTGGAATAAGAGCTGTTTTCAAAGTAAGGTAGTTTGTGACTTCAGCCACAAAAACAGATGCCTTAACAAGATTTTACAAGACAGTAAGTTGATAGCAGGACACCCTCTCTACTTACAGATGAGGAAAAAAAATCCAAAGAAATTTACATTTTTATCCAAAAATCAAAACCTGATTAGTGATTGATATCTCTTGAAACTTTGTCTTGTCTTCTGTAAAGGTAACTAGAAACTGCCCAGGAATTCTTTAGTTTAATTTTGACATTCTGAATTGTTTAGGTGAAAATTCTTTTAATTCTACTTATAATACAGCTTTTATACAATTTAGATTCACTAAACATGCTCTATTAGAAATATCAAGCCTGGACTATAGAGTCAGAAACTTCTAGATTCAAACCAAAAGTCTCTGAAACAAAGCTTTAGTTTCCCCATATGTAAACTGAAGTCAATAATCTCTATTTTCTGGCATAATTTTGAGGCCTAAGTGAGATAATATACATGAAAACATCTCGATCAGTGCCTGGCTCATTGCAGATAATACACAAATGATATTTTCTCATTCTCAAGCTAATAGTAATTATATTACAGATTTATGTCAACATATTCTATTACAAAGTATAGCACTACTGAAAAGTACCAGAAAAACATAAATGACCAAAAGTATTTAGGAAACTGTGGAGAAAAATTCAGTAAATGGGATTCAATGTAGAAAATATTTTTTTTCTGAAACTGAAATATGAGTAGTGGGGAAACAGCTGATCTAGATGTGCTGTCTCCATTATGTAAAAATTCACACAAGTTAAATCTGTATCCCCATTCACTTAAATCTGGAAAGATTTGTAATCACTTTGGGCAACGTGGAAATGACACCATGTGATTTCTGAGACTAGGTCATTAAAGAAAATATGGCCTCTGACCCTCAGCTTCCTATCCATAAAACATTAATAATAATATTTACCAATGAGGGCTGTTATCAGTCCTAAAGAATAAAGTCTTTATTACTTGGAGAATGCTATATTAATCTGTCAATTTCACCCATAACTTCAAAAAACGCGCAATAATTTGAATTTAGGTAAAGTGGAGTAAATTTCTACATTTTATGTAGTTAGACTCCGTAATTTTTTCTTACCTTCCCTTTTTTCCTTTTTGTGGGTTTCTTAGAACTATAAGAGTGAAACATTAATATATTTTAGAATATATTTTATTACATATTACTGTAGCACTTTGTGTTATAGTCAAGTTTGCACACTTGAGTATCTCATTCAATCTATTTCACAGTCTTAACATATGTGGCCACAGCAATAACTTTCACCTTCACATGTTCCTGCACACTGTGACCTTGACATAGCCCTCTCAAGAGGTTTAACCCCATCCACTTAAACCTGGAGGATTTGTAACTACTTTGAGCAACGTGGAAATGACTCCATGTGATTTCTGAGACTAGGTCATTAAAGAAAATATTATCTCCTTTTTGTCAGTGAGAAATTGTTATTATTTTCATAGTATAAAGCAAATTCTCGCCAGGCGCAGTGGCTCATGCATGGGAGTACTTTGGGAAGCCAAGGTGAGCAGATCACAAGGTCAGGAGTTCGAGACCAGCCTGACCAATATGATGAAATCCTATCACTACTAAAAATATAAAAATTAGCAGGGAGTGGTGGTGGATGCCTGTAATCCCGACTACCCAGGAGGCTGAGGCAAGAGAATCGTTTGAACCCAGTAAGTGGAGGTTGCAGTGAGCTGAAATCACGCCACTGCATTCCAGCCTGGGCAACAGAGCGAGTCTGCAGCTCAAAAAAAAAAAAAAAAAGGAAATTCCAAAAATACCTGATTAATAAGATGATAAATTAGATTAGCCCTAAAAATCTTTTCCAAGCTTGTGCTTCTGTGCTTCTCTGTTACATATCAACAAGGCTACAAGGCTATGGTACTCACCAGTAATGACATTTAACACTGAGCTTTATTAGTTGCATTAAGACAAGATGAAGTAAAAGGAAATTATCTGAATTATTTACTTAGTATAACAAAGGGGAGAGGAAAGCTGGATCAATGCTTAAAGTCTGTTTTTTATCCTATCAGCTTGAATATTAATTCTAATATGCTTACAAATAAATTCTGATTTCTTTTTAGGGCCAAAAGCTAAAAACAGATAGGAAATATGCAGATTTCTGTCTCCTCTATATAGGTTAACAACTATTTCTTATGTTAAGCCCTAAGAAATTTGGAATTCACAAGTATCTATAAGATAAAAACCAAAATTCTTGCAATTCAGTTCAAATACTGTCATTCTTCTCTGTATTAGTTCATTCTCACACTGCTATAGACAAATACCTGAGACTGAGTAATTTATATTGGAAAAAAAAAGGTCTAATTGACTCACGAGTCCTGCAGGCTATACAGCAAGCATGGCTGGGAGGCCTCCGATGGTAGAAGGCAAAGGAAAAGCAGGCATATCTTACATAACCATGACCAAAGCAGGAGGAAGAAAGAGTGAAGGGGGAGATGCCACACACTTTTAAATAACCAGATCTCACAATAAATCACCATCAGGAGGCCAGCACTAAAGGAGAAATCCACTCCCATGATCCAGTCACTTCCTGCCAATCCCCACCTCATCACTGGAGATTATAATTTGATATGAGATTTGGGCCAGGACACAGACCCAAACCATATTATTCTCCCAGTACTACTCTGATGTATGATACATAGTCCAGATCAACTTAGAATACTCACTTCTATCGAGTCACAGGCACAGTAAGCTCTGTAAGACTCCCGCAATCATTGATTTTTGGGTGTCAACTTGACTAGATTAAGAGATACTCATATATTTGGTAAAGTATTATTTATTCTCAATGCTTCAGTAGGCATTTGGCCCATCTTTCTTCTGCTGAAGGAGAAACCCAAGTGGTTTTGCTTTTGGTTAGAATGATTGGGCTGCCCAAGATGTGCCAGTGAAGCTGGTTCCAGAGGAACTCAGCACGTGAGTCAATGGACTGAGTGGGGATGATCCACCCTCAATGTGGGTGGGCACCATTCAATCAGCTGAGGCTGAAGGAAACAAAAAGCCAGACAAAGGTGACTTATTGGTATGTCTTCTGGAGTAGGAATGCTCTTCTTCTGCCCTCAGACCTCCAGGTTCTCTAGCTTTTGAACTTTGGGAACTGAACCATCAGCCCCCCAAGTCTCAGGTCTTCAGCCTCAAATGGTGAGTTTACCAATGGCATCCTTGGTTCTGAGGCCTTTGGCCTTGGCCTGAGCCATGCTACCAGCTTCCCTGGTTCTCCAGCTTGCCAGCTGTCTCTCTCCATTCTTCTGTCATTTGAGGACAGTGTTGCTCTCCTCTGCAGAATGCAGCCCTCACCAGACAAGTGAACCTACCACTGCCTTGATCTTGGACTTCTCAGCCTCTAGAACTGTAAGAAAATAATTTTCTGTTCTTTATAAATTACTTAGTTTTGGGCATCCTGTTATAATAACACAAACAGACAAAGACAGCTCCTTAATTATAATAGGGTGCTTAAAGCCTAAACTGCTTAGGAACATGCTGATTTTTAAATTACACGGAAGAGATTAATTTTTATATATTATGTAGTAAGTGAGAAACTAAATGAAAAATAATTGGATTTTTTTGTAAAAATAAATTGTGTTTATTTACCAAAATCATCTCTCCTAAGAAATAAAATAAGATACATTTTATAGCAAGTATGTTAACAACATCAATATCAACAACTATTAATACTTTTCTCAACATGTACCAAGAAATCTCCTAATCACATATTCATTTCCTCCTCTCGACAGCTCTAGGGGATAAGTGCTGTTACTACCCATGTTCCATATATGAGGAAACTGAGACACAGAGAAATTAATTTGTACCATGTCACTCAGTTAGTAAATGGTGTGGCATAATTTGATTTCACGTAGTTGGATTTGAGACATTATGTGCCACGTGGCACTGCCTCTTAGAAAAAAATGTGAACTAACAGACCTAGATGCTTATTAGTTTAAAAAATCAGTTGCTAAGGAAAACTGTGCAGCATTTCTTAATTGGAATTGTTATTCCTTGAGATAATTAAACTCTAAAGCCCTAAGTTAATGTTTATGTAATGAATTACCTTCTTTCCTATGCATTTAGAATGATACTAATTATGTATCATCTTTGGAATAAATTGAGAAAATAGACATCCAAATTACTTCCTGTGTTCTGTGACTCAGACAAATATTCCTCATTAAGAAAGTTAACAGGATCTTTTGAATCAACTTATAATTCCAATCCATCTTTTTGACTGACATGTGTCAGGAATCTTTCAGTTGCAAGTGACAAAAATCCAAAGGAAAATATGCAAAACTGGTAATTATTTGGTTCATATAGCAGGGATTAATATAGTAATTGATTACAGAATTAAATGTAGAAATACAACATCCAGAACTTTTGGGCCTGAAATGAGAAATGTAATTCAAAAGAAAATTAACTCTTTCCTACCATTTCTCATTCTCACTTGCCTCTGATCTCCTTTATATGGGCTTGGTAATTTACTGTGTTGGTTCCACCACAACCTGAGATCAAGAAAAACATTTACAGCTTACTGTAGAGTATCAGTTTACTCACATTTTTGTAGACATTTTCAAAGGTCAGGTTTACTTTTACAATAAAACAATATATGTTTCCTTGTGAAAAAAAAATATGGGCATCAAAAGCAAATGGAAGAAGTTGTTTAGGAACATTCTATTTGCTGTGAATTTATAACCTCAATGAGGCCAGTACAGTTCCAAGTAATGATAATACTTCCATATAACTTCAGTACCTTCTTGCCTGTAGGTTCCAA